TCCGAGGCATTGTGACATTTTTGTGTTTATATCTGATTGGTGATTGTATGTTCGAGTGAATTGCCCATGAGTTTTGTTTTCTTTGTATGTTATCTATGTAAGCAAGGTACTGTGCTGTGCTCCTCTATTTGCTAGTTGGCAGGACTTACACACTTACCACCTGTCTCCTTTGCCATTGTCTGCCTCCCATATGTCCCTGCTGTCCTTGGCAAATGGAGCCTGTTCTTAGGTCCCTAGAATCCAAATGAGAATGCTGTCACTTTAAAATCCAAAATGACCACCACTTATAAAGATTAAAAATGGCTGCACCCTTGATCACTTTAAATATCCAAAATGGCTACCGCATGTAAACAATCAAAATGGCTGCACCCTCTGGACAGCTGAAAGTCCACAGCTCAGGTTGTCTCCCTCCTTGCTGTTTCTCTTCCCAGTCATAGGCCACCAGCACAGTCATTCCCTGTAGCCCTTGGTGAACAGGGCTGATCTTTAGGTCAATTCTCAGGTCCCAACATAGCTTGGAAATATTCAGAATGTTGGTCCCGTCAGAAGCTGACCGTCCACTGCTCTGACTGTCTCTGGACTCACTGTTTTTGTTCAGGCTCTCCCTTAGGTTGGTGCCTAATCCACTTCTGTATCCTTCCTTTCAGAGCTCAGGGCTTCAGGATTACTTTCTGTATCTCTGTCAATTGGTTTCTCTTTTCTTTGTTGAAGAGGGTCTGTGGAGCTTGTCTGCCTATTCCACCCGTAAACCTGTCTCTTTACCCCGTCTGGCTGCTCCATGCTGGTGACTGGGCACCTGAGGCAGAGACACCAGCATTGTCTTTGATTTTCCGTCATCATCCTTGGTGACCACTCGCTCTCAGTGCTCCTTGGAGTCTCTCAGATCCCTTGTCTTGTCCCTGTCCCCAGCCCCTGACACCATGCCTGTGTTACTGCCTGCAGCATCTCCATCCAGGACCCCCTCTCCCAGCTTTCAGGACTACTGTAGGTTTCCAAACTGTCACCTTCACTGACACCACGTCTGGTCTTGTCACTCCTCTGCTTTCAGCTCTCAGTGGTGCCTGCTGCACCTGGAATAGTCACCAGAGTTCTTGGTGGACCTTGAAAACCTCCCCAGTCTGGCCTCAGCCGGCCCCTCAGCCTCCCATTGGCCTTGCTCCTGCCCTCCAGGATGTTTCGTGCTTCTCTGGGGTGCCCGGCCCCAGGCTCATCTCTGTGCCTTTCAGCCTCCTCTGTCTTTTTCTTGATTGCTGCGTAAGTCTGATAGGGCTATCATAGCAGACATACATTCTCTGCAGGGCTAGGGGCCAGAAGGTTAAAGTCAGGGTGTGGGCAGGACCCCGCTTTGTCCAGAGCCTCGAGGGGAGGTCTCCTTGCCTCTTCCAGGTTCTGGTGGTTGCCAGCTTCCTCTGCTGGTGGCCACTTCAGTCCAGTTTCTGCCCCCATCTTCACGTGGCCACTTGTCTCCCTTATGAGGACATTTGTCATTGGACGTAGAGCCCACCTGGTTAGTCCAGGGTGCTCTCACCTCAGGATCCTTATTTCCATCTGAAGAGTCAGGGAGCCTTCCTCGGTGCCAGGGGTTTCACGAGAACATACCTGTGTGGGGCCACAGTCAGCCCACCACGTGGGCCGAGTCTAGACCTGGCTCCATGCCTCCTGCCCAGGACCTTCTCTCCCTGCCTGGCACACTCTGTCCAGTCTGCTGCCCTCTGCACCTGGGGCGCCATGCAGGATGGTATCACACAGTGACCATCTCCTGTTGTCCTTGTGCCGTCTCAGCTCCAGCCCGTGCTGGGCAGTCTGTCTGCATGGGCTTTTGCTGCTTCTGGCTGGCCATGCCTGCGTGATGTCGTCGGGCACCACCTGCTGTCCCCCGTCAGCCCGGCCAGGCCTCGTCCTGCACACCTGTGCCGCTGTCAGGGCTGCCTTGCTGACCTTCCTGCTGCCGCCGCCTCCAGTTTCTGGAGGACGTTCTTTCTAAGCCACTGTCGTCCTGTCACCTGCTCAGGAGCTTGACTCCACCGGCCTCCTGACAGCAGTCTCCCAGGCTCCCTTTCATAGGCTGCTGCCACCCGATCGTCTGAGACTCTGTCCACACACTGCTGGGCCCACTGATGTTCACTGCACCATCCCACTAGGTGACATAGGTATTTCATTACTTAGAATTTCACCTGCTTTTTCTTCCCCCGGGGAAGGCCGTGGACTCTACTTCCATAAATGTTTGCTGCCTCAGAAACCCAGTGGGGGTCACTCTGAGTCGGAATCGACTAGATGGCAGTGGGTTTGGGTTTTGTGTTTTTGTTTTTTGTTTTCCCCCATTGTGTCTCCTCGGCTGCTCAGGCCTGTGTGTGCCCTGGGGCTGCTCACTGCCTGGGTCCGTGTGCCCTGCGAAGGGTGAGAGCCCTTTGGCCTTGGTTTTCCGGACGGAGGGGTGTGCGTCCGTGTGGGCTGTCCTGTGGCTTTGGCCTTGGTTTTCCGGACGGAGGGGTGTGCGTCCGTGTGGGCTGTCCTGTGGCTTTGGCCTTGGTTTTCCGGACGGAGGGTCTGTGTCTATGTGGGCTGTCCTGTGGCTTTGGCCTTGGTTTTCTGGACGGAGGGGTCTGCGTCCATGTGGGCTGTCCTGTGGATTTTCTTTTTTTAAAACCGTTATTTTGATTTTTTTTACTTTTATTTTGGTGAAAACATACACAGCAAGATACTTGCCAATGTAACAGCTCGGGGACAGTGATGACATTTTTATGTTGTGCCACCGTTGCTGCTAGTCATTCCTAAAATGTCCCACCACTGTTAATTGTGTGCCCCCAAACAAAAGCTTCCCCTTTCCCCTCCCTCCCACCACTGGTAAGCACTAATAGTCTTTGGTTTATATATATATATATAATTTATTTATTTATTTTAACCTATCTAGGAATTTCCCCTCCCTTCCCCTCCCAACCCTGGTAACCAACAACAACAAAAAAACTTTCTTCCATGTCTGAACCTCTCCTTGACTTTTACAATAATGGACTAATACAATATTTGTCCTTCTGTGATTGACTTACTTCACTCAGCATAATGTCCTCCATGTTATACAGTGTTTTGCAGATTCCACATTATTCTTTAGGGTCGCATAGTATTCCATTGTGTATGTGCCACAGTTTGGTTACCAATTCTTCTGTTGATAGGCACACAGGTTGTTTCCATCTCTTTGCTGTTGGAAGGACGCTGATCGTGTCCTGCCTCTCGCTTCTCTGGATGTATACCTAGTAATGGGTAGCTGGATCAAATCGTATTTCTATTTCCAACATGTCCTGGGGCCTTTTGTGGCACCTGACGCAGTGGGTGGGGAGCTTTCCAGTCTCTGTGCCTGTGTAGGGGACACATGCCAAGTCACCACTTATTCCACAGATACTAGTTGAAGGCACCATTTTTCACCTATTGGTGCTGGTCCTCAGGGAGCACTGAAAAGCAAGTCATGCCTACTTCTTTTATTTATTTATTTATTGTGATTGGGGTGAAGGTTTACAGAGCAAATTCACTCTCCATACAGGAGTTCACATATGCTTTGTCTCATGTCATTGACCACAGTTTACCACAATGCAACAGCTCCTCTCCCACTTCCTCCCCATAGTTACCTCTTCCCAGTGTCTGTCCCTCCATACTCTCCTGCACCCTGAGCTGTCTCCCTGTGCATAAGCAGCCCTTCCTTCTCCCATGATTGTTCTCTCCA